TCTTCGGGCAGCGCAGCTGGAGGCAGGAAGTTCAGCCTGGAGCCCCGGATCCCCTCAGCTTTGGAATGGATCCTGGCGAGGGGCACTGGGGAGAGGAGGGGCTGCTGTGAGGGCCCAGTGAGGGCCCCCATTCTCCGGGGCTGAACTCCTGCCCTCGGAGCTCTGACCGCTTTTCACACCCGTCAGGAAGGGGACCTCGGAAGCCTGCAGCGACCGAGAGGGTTGGGCTGGCTCCTCCGGGAGGCGCCCCCTGCTCAGGCTCCTGCGACCCTCACCCACGGTGCAGGGGAAATGCAAGAGAGGAGGAGTTGCCCCGTTCACCCACCAGCTCAAACCGTAGCAGAGGAGTTAGTTTCTGTCAGAATGATCGAAAGCTCTTTGTCGTTCTTTCCAAGTTACAAAAGGAACCCGCAATTATGGCAACAAAATCAAAACAGTACATAAAGTAAAACTGTAAAAGCGAGCCAGCCCCTCTCCGCCCCAGGCCTAAGGGTGGTGGTGAAAGGGAGCGTGTGTGTGTGTGTGTGTGTGTGTGTGTGTGTGATATAAAATTCTCTAGGACTCATGTTAAAAAGTAGAAAGAAGCAGGTGTAGTTAATTTTGGTCATATATTTATTTAAACCAATGTATATAAATATTTATTTTAATATGTAATCAACATTATCAAGTTACCCAGATATAGAATTATCATTTTTTCATTATTTTTGTACTAACTTTGGCATCTGATTGTGTCTACCCTCACAACACATCTTTGTTTGGATGCTAAATTCTCATTGGAAAGACTCTCTCTGTATTGAGATGTCACAAGACATGGCTGAAAAAGTAGATCCAGCTGGAAAAGGAGATTCACATATCAAAGATGCTGCAAATGTGCTTTGTAGCTTTCCAATAATGGAATCAAGTACTAGTTTTTAAATCAATGAAGCCAAGCGCGGTGGGGTACACTGTACTCACAGCTACTGAGAGGCTGATACAGGAGTGTCTCAAGGTTAAGGCTAGCCTGGGAAGTCAGGGAGAACCTGTCTTGGCATAAAATTTAAAGTGAGCCGGGGTCATGGCTCAGCGGAAAGCACCTGCCCAGTCCAGGCAAGACCTTGGTTCAGTCCTCAGAACTGGTGTCTCATTAATTTCCCTCCCCTCAGGCGTACCAGCCACAGCTTTGAGTACTCGGTAGCGGTGTGTTTATGGCTGCCATACTGGGTGATGAAGCTACAGAAAGCTGGCGGGAATCGCCTTGTCCTTTCCCTGTCTTTGAACATATGAATACATCGTGAAGAATACAACGATGACGCTGTCCAACGTAATACACATACTGCAGCTAATTTCACTTGGGGAAAATGTGGTCATGCTGCCTGGTTTACTTGACAACCTAAATGTCTCTGCCTGTAGCTGTAGTTTGGGTGTTTTCTTCCCAGTTCGGTTCACAGGCCTCCCCATTCTCCATGTAGCGGTGTGGCTGATTTACTGACGCTCCCCTGCTAGCAGGATGCGCTGGTTAGTTAATTTCCCGTGAAGAAAGTGAGTGCTGGTGCCCTGGCACCCTCCTGAGTGGCCTTGCCGACTCCTGGGACCCCTAGCCTGCATCTGTGGATGCTTCCTAGCCAGGGTCATAAAATGCGGGCCAGAAGTAGCCTCAGGGACCCAGGGAACCGCAGCCGTGGTGGGGTCAGGGCTGTGCAGTGTGACAGGGACTCAGGCGGCCCACGGTGGTGTCCAGTGGTCACAGAGGAGCTGGTCACCTCCCCAGCTCCGTCGCTGCTGGCCCACACTGGCTGGGGATGGCTGGGCCTTCAATGGGGCGTCGCTGCGCCCCGGTGAGCAGGGAGCTGGCTGCCGAGCCATGCTGTGACGTTTGCATCCAGAGTCGAACTCACTGTGCTCACTACGATCTCAGCGCATCCACCTCTGCCTCGACCAGGAGGAGGTGATTCTGCTGCGGGCAGAAATGGACAGAGCTGTCAGGCAGGCAGGCAGGCTGGGGGACAGGGACCCCGGGCGTCTGTGGCCTCCTCTGTCCCCTCACCGCCCATCCTCTCCCTCTCGTGGCCCCAGCTCAGTTGCATCGTCAGCACTGACAGCAAACCTTTCTGCTGGCGCTCTCATGACTAACTGCTCAAAATCAGCTCAGGTGCTGGGACGCTGTTTATTGTCCATTCTGTCCTTTACGTCCCCTCTTCCTGTCCAGGAACAGGGCCTGCTTTGCCTGACCGAGTCACAGGTGCCGAGGAGCGCATCCTGTTCCTCCCTATCGGGCCGGACTGTACGCGGTTTGGTGCTGGTTTTGGTGTCCACATTCTGGAAAGAAAGCAAAGGCTTGCAGTGGGAAGAGAGGGCGGGAGGCGAGCTTCGAAGCTCAGCGGCTGGCACGCGCTCACCCTGGTGCCGCTACCCCAGGCACAGTCTCCCCCCGGGGCAAGTGACACCCGTGTGTGCAGCACCAGGATGCGGTGTCCTTGGGAGGCAGCCCTCCCGCTGGGCACAGGGGACGGTGGCCTTGAGGGCTGCGGAGCCCGCCCTGGCCCCGTGGGCATGAAATGACTGTGGAAATGTTCCATGCGTGAGTAAGCAATGCCAATAGGACACACATAGGCTAGCAGTGTCGGTCACGGGGGAGCGCTGCCACAATTTGACATGGAAATCTGCTGAAAATCTTGGATTCTGGTGGTAGTGGTGCTGGTGATTTGAACCCAGCGCTCTATCCCCAACCTTTTTTTATTTTTCATTTTGAGACAAAGTCTAACTCTCTAAGTTGCCCAGGCTGGATTCAGACTTGTGGTCCTCCTGCCTCCGCCTTCTAGAGTGTGGGTTGCAGGCATTTGCCATCACATCTGGCTCCGTTACTTTTTGTTTCAGTAGGGTCCTGGGCTGGGTTCCCCCAAAAGATCGAGGCAGTAACCCATGTGATTGAAGAACGCTGTGTGGATGCTTTGGGTTCCTGATCTGGGCTGGTGGACAGCGCCAGGCACCGCGGTCGCCCCCCACAGGGATCTGACGTGGGAATCGCCACTCAGATTCCATAGACCCCTGCTTCCCGGCGTCATGGCAACATGTCCAGCAGGGGTCAGGCGGGCGGCTCGGCTCACCGTGGCATCCTCATATGTGGACACAGCGTCACCACACGCAGTCACGGTGCCGGCTGCCTCGTCACCGTCCCAGAACACTGGTCAGGTGAGCTGATGGGACATCTCTGGTCTGTCCAGTCCCACAGACAGTGCTGTTTGCAGAAAACCCTGCAGCACAGCCAGATGCTGCCGGCCGCTCTGGCCAGGACGCCCTGCTCTGAGGCTGCCCAGCCTGCTGCTGGGCAAGGAGGCGCCAGCGTCAGCCTCAGCCTGAGTTCTTTCCCAGACCTGGATTATCAGCCAAACTCTATCTTTGTTCCATTTGTCAAAACACCATTGTTCTCCCTCCCCTGTGAAGTTTCGTTTTTATTGTTCAAAAAATCCAAAGTCAGGGCAGCCAGGGTGGCTGGAGGGGGCCTTGCCCCAGGTTGCCAGGCTCGGAGGTCACTCCGGCCAGCTCCGTGGTGGACTGCCACGCACCAGAGCGTCTCTGCTGCAGGACCAGGACAACCCAGGTGTGGGTTCCTATATCGGGCTGATCTTTTCCCAGCTACAGAGTCTTCACAGAAGACAGGGAGCTTGCTTCGGACAAAACACGCCACCGATCCTTTTTTTCTCCTTTCCTTTCCTCCCTTCCCCTTCCTTTCTCCTTTGACGTGGTCTCACTCTGTTGTCCGGATTGGCCTTGAACTAATGATCCTCCTGCCTCAGCCTCCTGAACTGCTGGGATTATAGGCAAAAGTCACCATGCCTAGTCATCACATTATTTTCCAAGAGAGAGATCTGGTGGATCTACTTTTTAAAAAGTCTGCGGCTTCAAGCCTTCTGCGCTGTTTAACGTTCACAGGGAAGCCAGCAACTTCACATGAAGCTAGGACACCTAGCTCACGGGCACGTCTTTGTTTTGTTTGTCCTGGTGCCAGGGGTCGAACCCAGGTCCTCTCACGCTATGCCAGGACTCTGCCCCAGCCCTCTCCCTGGCACAGATACACAGGGGATGTCTTATAGTTTTCACCCAGGGTTTTCTCTGAGGATCTAGTAAAATAACCCAAGAAAACACAGAGCCCCATCCCTGACTGTCATCACAGGGCTGTGCCAGGGCTGGCCTCGGAGCCACCCAGATGACCCCACCTGTCCTCCTGCGACCTGAGGGGCAGAGGCCGGGTCCCTGGAGCCCAAAGGCCCCTCCTGTGTGACTCCGGGACAGCACTGACGCTCTCACACTCCAGCCTCCTGTCCAGCGCTGCTCAGGGCCACTCAAGTTTGGGGTGAGGAGGAGTGGGGGATCACCCTGGGTTCCCTGGAGCACGTGCTGCCGTTCACTCTAATTAGCAAAAAGTTAACACCAAGGACAAAGCACAGCCTCTGCTCTGATGGGACCCAGACAGGAAACGGCAACTTCATCTCTCTTGGGCCGGGCTCTTCCTGAGATCTGGTGGGCAGCAGGGTGGCCCCAGGACATGAGGATGTGCTAAGCCCGCAGGGGGACCTGCGCTGTGGACCCTGACCCGAGCCACCACCACGTTCCTTCCTCCTGGGACTCTGAGGCTGCCTCATCCGGGGCCACACGCACTCCAGGTGGCTGGATGCAGCCCTCCTGCCTCAGCATGCTGTGTGAGGACAGTAATGGCCACTGAGGTGGTGCTGGGGCAGTGGGAGAGAGGGAGGACACATAGGGATTTGGCTAGTGATGCCGGACACCAGAGCCACCGCTATGAGGAGGAGCTGGAGAGGAAGGGGACTCTAGTTACACGAACTCGTCCCACAGAGCCGATGGGGCAGCTGGAGTGTGATTCTGTTCCATGCTTTAAAATACTTCACTTGTCAGGTGCGGTGGTGCCCACCTGTGATCCCAGCACTCAGGAGGCTGAGGCAGGAGGATCATGGAGAGCTTAAGGCCAGCCTGGGATATATAGTGAGTTCAAGGCCAGCCTGAACTACATAGAGAGACACTGCTTTAAAAACAAAGAAAAGAAAAATATTGTACTTAATGGTCTCTTAAATATGCCAGCTAACTTTCCCAGAAAGATTGTTTCCGTTTCTCACCCAGCAATAACTCTGTTTTGGTTGTATAGTATTTTCCTTAGTCCTGGCTTTTTCCGCCCAGTCCACACCCTGGAGACTGCGCCAGCACCTGGCCTCACCGAGCACTTTGTCCTTGGGACCTTTTAAAGTAAGTTGAGGCAGCACTTTAGGAAACGACTGGTTTGTGGGCAGAAAAACATTAACCCGCCGGGGGCCTCCATGCTAGGGTCGTCACCCTCAGTGCAAGCTGACTGGTGGGAAGCGATGCCTGGGTCCGCTGGGAGGCAGGTGGGAGAAGCCCTGCTTTCTGTGCCCGCCGTCCTGCATGGGTCTCTGGAGGGGTCTGAGCTGCCTGCAGCCAGTGACACACGGCCGGTGCAGTTCATTCCACCAGCACCAAACGGGCAGCAAAGCTTGGTGCCAGGTGCGACTCTGTGCAGCTTCCTTTGACCACTGCTAAACACAGCTGTGAGGGTTTGGGCAGCGGCTCCAGACCCTCCCAAGCCAGAAGAGCGCCCGCTTCCTTCTGCGGCTCTCCGCTGACCCAGGCAGAGCTGAGACCGTGCTGGGGCCTCCTCCGCAGGCAGATCCTGGGCCTGTCCTGGGGTGCTGCGGTCACATCTGACCTCGGGGCCATCGGCTCTCGGGGGACTCAGGGGGAGGCTTCCGGCTCCCTGAGCAGCACGGAGAACGGGGGTGTGGGCTTTGTCACGGCCAGGCCCGGCAGCAGGGGTCACGGCCAGGCTGGGAGCACCTGGGGACCGGCTCGCCTGCAGGTGCTGGGCAGGAGTGAATGACCGTATGACCGGAGGCTGTCCTGGGAAGACGCTCCCACCCCAGGCCCGGCTGGG